TAATCGTCAACTTAGCCTTTGCAATAATGCTTGGTGTAGTGAATCGCTTACTAACTAGGTTACCCAGACTAAACGTGAGCGGTTGGCGTGTGTTTGTGGCAGGGAGGCGTGCGCGGGTGAGCGTGGTGGGTTATATAATTACTTCTAGGCTGTCCCGGGTGATGTCGCGTGTGGCAGATGGCCGACATTTGCCCTGTATGTCGCGCATTTCAGGGTAGTGACTTCCAGGGTCCGTCACTACCTGAAGAACGTCGGCCGCTATCTGCCAACGAGCGGGCGTCACCCCGGACAGCCTACGAAGTAATGGACTCGGAGGCCGCGGAAGTCTACGTGTACGCGGTTATCAATAATGTTCAACCATATAATTTAGTTCTTCTTGTAAAAAAATTGTCAAAGTTGTCCTGTCAGCACTAAAATAATGCTTGGTTTATGCTGGTTTGTAACTACGGTTAACGCCGAGTGTGCGTGTGGCGCATGTGGCGGAGGCGTGCGCGGTCAGCGTGGTGGCAGGCGGAGCGGTCTGTGGGCACTGCCGGGCGCGCCGCGCAGACCGACGCGCTTCTTGGAGCTGCGCGTCCGACGAGCGGCGGCGCTGCGCGAGCTTGCGCGCGGGGGCCCGCGGCCGGTGCGGGGCCGGCCTGGTGCGCGACGGCTGCGCGGCTTGCGGCGCCGCACTGCGCGCGCCTGGCCTCGACGACCTCGACCTGGGCGCGGAGGCGCTCGCGCTGCGCGCTGCCCGCCTCGCCTCGCTCGAGTTTGGCGGCTGCTCTACTGCCCGGGTGAGTGTTTGCCGGGCACGCCACTGCTACGGGCCTTAGTCCAGATGTAGTGAATGTTTTCCGCGGGAACGTGGTGGTCTCACTAGCTGGTGTAAGGCGGGCGGCGCGTGGCTATGGTCTAGACGTTAAGGGTATCGGACTGTTTATACCAAGTTCGCGGATTCAAACCCGATGATGCCTGGATTTTTAAGAGCGAAAAATCTTCGTAAGCTTCCTTCGGAAGGGAAGTAAAGCCGGCTGTCGCACGTTTAGTAATTTTTTACTTGCCATGTAAAGATCTCAAGCCTAATTATCGGTTGAGGTTAAATTCATTCGTCTGTTTCTTGCCCAAGACATACTTCTTTTCTGTTAGTTGGTGAAAGGAGCCATAGCGAAATTTTTGCGGTGGTCAGATGGAAGTTGCCGGGCATGCATGCCAATGTTTTAATTAATCTGTTTGATTGATTAGGCATTCCGGGAGAGTCAATGGCTATGGACGGACAATTATTACCGTACGTATAGTGTATGTTGGTTCTGAGGAAAGAGGCGGTGATTTCATCGCTGGAATGGAAAGAATTTGGCACTGAATAACCGGCGGCCTGGCGGGGTTTACCCAACAGGTATCTCCACCAGAAGGGGCAACAGGTCCAGCGGAACAAGCACTAAGCTCCCGATTGGTCTCCGTCAGATGTGGTAATGTAGTGCATGTAAATGAATGTTGTAAGGGGTGAGATAGGGGCAAGGAAGCGGAAGGAAAGTTACATGCGGTCGTGGCCTTTGTTAGGGGTATTGTTCGGCATTCGGGTGTTTTGATCGGAAAAACATGGACACTCCGAATCAAAGCAGAAGGACTTACAGATTCTCACTAGACAATGGATATTCGACGAACTCGATCTGTAGCAATTGTCAAAAAATTGTCACGGCGGAGTTCGCGGAACATTCGATGCAGACGCAACAATGCTAAAACTCAGCCAGACCTCGGAAGATAAACTCGGATCGGTTATTTGGAAAAGAGCACTACATTATATGTGCATAACGATTATCGTTGAAGGTATTCGCATCTCGCGACGATAGTAAAAACACTGTTATTTTTTAGAAATGCCCACTTTGTTCTCTGTCA